AATATCGTGTGGTGTTCCAAAGGGATCATTGTTGGGTCCCTTATTATTTTTGATCTTAATTACCAATCTTGCAAAGCATGTCTAGAGTCCTTTCCTCATGTTCGTCGATGATATGAAGTTAGCTGGAGAAGGGTCGGAACAAGATCTAGATGCAGTTCAAAGGTGGTCAAATAAATGGGATCAAACTGCCAGCTCTTGACCACAGAAACCAATGATAACTCAAGAGATATGATGCATTTGCAGGATGCGTCTGAGGCAACGGATCAAGGAGTAATGATTACAAACGATTTTAGGCCATCAATGCAGTACAAGCGTGAGGCCAATAAAGCTTGACACAAACTTTTCAGGTGGTGCGCTGTTGTTAGTTACAGAAGACCCGAAGTTTTCGTACATTTATACAAAATTATAGTGCGTCCTCATGTAGAATATCGCGTACAAGCGTAGGTGCTTTATTTAAAACAGGATGAACGGTGTCTTGTGAAAGTACAGTGTTTAGAAATAAGTATGGTAGCAGGCCAGATAGGTAAGGGAAAGCTTCAACGACTGAGGGACCTAGACCTGTTTTCCGTGGCCTGCAGACACATGCGGGGCGACCTTATAGAGACATTTACGATTACCAAAGGGCTTTTGGGTCTAAAGCTCGAAAACGTATTGTCGTTTGTTCCTGCCAGGGGCACGAGAGGGCATCAACTTAGATTGGAACGAAGTCATTGTAGAATCAATTTACGGGCTAGGTTTTACACAAACAGGATTATACGACTGTGAAATAAATTACCTGTATTGGTGTCGAATCTTTCGAGAGAAGGCTAAATGAATGCTGGGGAGTGGTATTTCCCTAAGTTGAATGTGGAAAGTTAATCGTTAGGCTTTACTTTCCGAAACATTGTAAGGGATCTGAAGCTGCACACTAACATTCTGCCTTTCAGAAAACACTATTGACTCGAAGTGTTGAAAGACAACAAAACCGCCGACAACACAAGAAACTAGACGCGCGATGGGTATCATACGACCAAATAGATAATCGACAAATTATTCGATCGGCCGCACAAAGCAGTCAGGGCTGTAGTTGCAACGACCAAAACGCGATTGTCCTGGTCCGAGCGAAACGAAAAAGACCTCGTCTGTATGCGTTCAGTCAAATGATCCTTCGCTCGTTCTGGATAGCGATAAACAAATATCAGAGCAACGCGTATCCCAAATTATCGAGAACCAATTGGATCCCAAAAAAATCTACGGTACCATTTTCGCATTAATCAAAAATACATCAGGCAGTCATACCTTTCATAGTGTGCCTGATTCACTATCCAGCCAAAATGTTACAAATATTCACAGAAAATATCTGCGGTAATAAAAAGTAAATAAGAAAATGAGTGACTTGAACTAAATTTCAGATAATTCTAGACCAACAGGAAAACTCTACACGCTTCAACAGATCAAGCAAAATAATCTTGAGCTTTACAGCCAAAAGGGTTTCAATATAACCGAAAGCAACGGTTAGTTCAACAACAAGCGTCCCATCTAAATTTGGTAGCAATAAAACAATAAAAAGCACTGAATCTCATTTACATGTGAGAGCAACGCACTTGAAGTGTGTGTCCAATAGATATGCTTCGCCGTAAAAAAGGTGAAATAGAAAGTTCAGAATAGAAAGTTTACCCACATGAAAACCACTGTCGGAGAGAATGCCCGATAGAATGACGAAGAAAGATAAATAAATGCAGGGTAATGGGGAGGAATTTTTAGTCTTTTTGACTGTTAGAGTAGTAAATGATTTTCTAACTAAAACAGCAGAATGGAGAGGAACAGGCGAGGGTCTGAGCAGGCTTGGCATTAAATTTCGAAGCTGCTACATGGTCCTAATGGGAATGGGATGTGGATCCGATCTGGATTCCATACTCGCGCTGGCTTCATTATTTAGACGATTGCCCAAACGCTTACAACGTACGTTGTCCGAAGTGGCGGATAGGATCGTATCTAATGGCGGACGGTACCGGTTTATCGACTTTATTGAAATGATAGAAGCAGA